TTCAATTTATGGTGTTTTACTTGGTCTATGTTTTCATGCTTCTCTGTTTTTCTGCCTAATAATAATGTTGGGCCATCTCCTAGTTCAAGGTAAACTTGTGCATGCGTATATTGATGTTGACAGGAAATGGCCAGGCACCAGTGGCTTATACCTGTAACTGTAGCTACTTAAAGCATCTCCAGTCCTCCAGGTCTCCAATTAACCAGCAAAATGCTTGACTAGAGACATGGAGGAGTAGAGTACCAGCCATCAGCTAGAAAGTCAAGCAAAAGCATGAAGCTCTATATTCAAGTCCTAGTACTGGCACCAGAGACAGAGATAGAGACAGACAGACAGACATAGAAAATGGAATTTAAAGCTAGATTTCATAGCACATTAATGTGGGTGCTGAATGAGCAGGGGGGCATAAAAATGCAGATTCTTCTTAGACATCCCCTGAAACCATGCTTTCTCTCTGTCACTGAAAGAACTTGAGCTTTAACATCAGTTCCAGAGTATGCACGGCATGCCGGAGGCCATCCCCTAGACTGCATGTGTTTATAATGTGTAATACAGCAGCCTGCCTTGGAGCAGGTTCACACGGTTGCTTTCTAGATGCGTTTCAGATCTAGAAAGTGACTGAGTCCTGCAAGTTGGGTGCCTTTGAGTAGAGCTAACCCTTAGCACGAATTCACTTCAGTAGCCACTCCATTCAAAATGGCTTCCCCGTTGTTCCTCGGCCTGCCTGACGTGTGGTCTCCCTTCCCACGCACATGACACTAGGCTCCAACTCTTCCACCACCTGGAGGCCTTCCCTGGCTGCAGTGGCCCACTCCAGCTCAGAGGCTAACAAGAGGCAAAGGCAGAGAGACTTTCCGAGCTCCGCCTGCCTTTGTGCGACTGGCCATGGCGCCGGCCTTCCCCAGGGCTCCGCCTGCCCCGGCTCTCTAAGTCCTCTGTTGGCCCCATTCACACCTAGCCTCAGACACCTGCCATCATAAATTGTAAGTGCGAGCAGCGACGTTGGTTTCTTCTGCTTAGTCCATACTAGTTGCAGGCCTATGAAATCTGGTGGGCATAAAGCCCCTGCGAACCTGCTGGGTACACTTCTGTTTCCCGTAGTCTGTTCATCTGTGCCAGGGCTCCATGCAGGCAGACGCTGACCCACTGGCAAGAAAATACAATCAAAGCCAGAGCTGGCACTGCCAACCAGTGTTTTGCATATCCAATATATATATATATATATATATATATATATATATATATATACATATCTGTATTTGCCCTGGAGTGTGGAAAAGGCTGTGGATTTTATCAGAAGCTTTAAAAGCTTATTTCATCTGGCTAAACTTCCTGCCCTAGACTATTGAGGGGAATAATAAGTATTATTCCTCAAATACAGCTACCACTGCTGTGCGTGTTCCCATGCATTTCTTTTCCCAGATGAAGCGTTATCATTAGAATTGAGGGAACTTTAAAGTCTCTTCAAATCCAGGTTACCAACAATCGTCATAATGGCTTTAAAAGGGAAATTTATCCGATCTTAGTTCGCAGCTTGTACCATTAATTAGTTTAACTCGTCTTCTTCTGAGTCGAATGTCAGTATTTTAAGCTCTTCCAAAGACTGCTTCTGAAGAAGGGCTTTATTAGCAAGCCCCTGACTCGAATTCCTTTCTTCCTGCCTGCTTATGTAAATTAATGCTTTCTCTAAGAAGACGAGTGTACGTATATATGAAAATTATGTATACACACATACATGTATAATTGTGTGTGTGTGTATAGTAGGCAGAGTACCAGTGGCTCACAATCACAATCCTACCTTCTCAGGAGGCTGAGATCTGAGGAGAGTGGTTCAAAGCCAGCCCAGGCAGAAAAGTCTGAGACTTTTCTCTCTAATTACCCATCAAAAATTCAGAAGTAGAAGTGTGACTCAAGTGGTAGAGCACCAGCCTTGAATAGAAAAGGCCAAGGGAGAGTGTGAGGCTGTGAGTTGAGCGCCAGTATTTGCATTGAAACAAAAACAGCAAAACCTTACTTTTCGATAGACTTTGCTGCTGGAGGGGCACTGTAAACTATGAAAGTGAAGCTGGGCGGGGTCCCTCTGCAGTGATCCGGTTGGAAGTGGGCTCGCATGTGCCTGCACCGCGCTGGGATGCGGCTGCGCGTGCCTACAGCAGCCTCCTCTGGCACAGGTCCATGTGGACAGCGGGCAGGACAGCGAGCTGATTTCCGAGCCGTGACCTTCCTCTGCAGCTGGTCCCGGCCCCGTCTTTGCCCATCTGCCGATGGCAGGCAGGGCTCAGAGGAACGCCCTGACTGGCCTGAAGAGCAGCAGCGCTCGGGCCTTGCGAGCTGTGGTGCATTGGCCCCTGCGAGGCCTCGCTGTGCTGGGCCCTCTGTGCAGGAAAGCAGGTGAAATGCCAGTTCTGAGGCCCCAGTGCCATTCGCCAGCGCGAGCGTGGAGGACCTGGGAGAGATGAGGAACTCCTCTCCCTGGGTCCACTCTGCTCTCGCAGGCTGATCCGCAGCCCCCGCCCGCCTTCCTGCACATGCATGTGGTTCCCACACTGCAGCTCCCGCTGCCTGCCCCATGGTTAATGGCGGACTGATCCAGTCCCCGTGGAGGAGGGAGACAGGTGAGCGGGCCGGCGTGGGCAGGGCAGGGCAGGGCAGGGCAGGGCAGGAAGGTGCCCTGGCCTTTGCAGATCCTGGCTTTGAAAAGTCTTACCCAGGCATGGCAACTCCATCCGAACAGCAGCTCGGCTGGACCTGTGACAGGCGCTGCTAATTGCAAACACTGCGTGCACTGATCCAGAGCCGCTCTGATTAAGTAATGACTCACAGGAGCGCAGAGGAGGCCGAGGTGGATTTGTGGGGAAGGGCCGGCTCCAGGTCTCCCCGCTCCCCGGCAGAACTTGAGTCTGGCCCAACTCTTTAATTACCTTCCGAGGCACTAGCGTTTAAATTAAATTCTGATGGTTCTCATATTGGCTTCCGCAGCACCCTGAGCTCCGCATCTGTGCGGCTGGGCGGGCGGGGGGGGGGGAGGGAGCAGCCTTGGTGACAGGTGGCGTTTTGTTCCTTGGGCCATAGGCTGACTGGGGTCACGTGTTGGGGAGTGCACCCCTAGGGCCTGCCCCACACGCCACGCATGCCCCAGCGTCCCCCAGGACCTCGTGTATATCATTTTCCCAGCACTTCACAGTTCTCATTCTGTTCTTCTCATTCCCTTTCAAGCTGAATCCTCTGGGGGGAATGTCAGCACCCCCAAATTATGCTGAGACCAGTGTGGACCCAGGGGTGGCCTTGGGGTGCTGTGTAAAGGGGACTCTCAGCATGCACACCCCACAAGCCACCGCACGCCCCGCTCCCAGCCCTGGGCTGGACACGTGAGTGAGGAACTGGATGTAGGTTTGTGTTCATTTTAACTCACCGTAATGGGACAGTACAAGCATGCATTTCCTCTGTGTCCGATGTGGGCAAAGGCAGTTTTATGTTCATGCGTTTATCTTACTGGTTTGGGGGAAGGATGGGTTGCTTGATGTCACATTTCCTATCAATCTTCAATTTTAAACAAAGTAACAACTGCAGTAGTAAAAATCCTTGCTAGCATGCCCTGGGTAATTACTAAGAAGCCCGGCAGACTGTCCTGACTAAAGATCACCGATGCCGTTGGCCTGAGGGTCTGACCAGCCAGTGGGCAGTGTGCCCCCCGACCCCGCACCCCCCTGCCTGATGAGACATTCCCAGTGCCACTCCCTGCCTGGTGTTTTAAAAGCAAGGCCAAGGACCGGGAAGGAGGCTTAGTGGTAGAGTGCTAGCCTTCAGTAAAAGAAGCTCAGACACAGTGTTCAGGCCCTGAGTTCAAGCCCTGGGACTAGCTAAATAAATAAATACAAGGCTGGGCATCCGGACTTCATTTCAAATACTGAACATATATTTGCAAAGTGCTTCGCAGAGCATGAAGTCAAGTCCTGATGGGGTGAAGGCAGTAGTCAGGAATGATGGCAGCCCGCTGGTCGGCTCCCCTCATTTGGTAGTTAGAGAGAGGCTTTTCCTTCCTGGGGTCTGGGAAATTTAGTCCCAGCCTAGGGAAGGACGGGCTGGACCAGAAAGCAGACATGGATTGTAAGACTAGCATCTTCTGGAGACAGATCAGATTGGGGCCTGTGCTGATTGGCTGGTGGACTGTGCCCGCCAAGGCCTGTGCTGATTGGCTGACGGACTGTGCTCATGCAGTCAAGGCCTGTGCTGATTGGCTGGAGGACTGTGCTTGTGCAGTCAGGGCCTGTGCTGATTGGCTGGCAGTGCCAGTGTAGTCAGGGCCCGTGATGATTGGAGGCCCGCTTGGAATATAGGTGAAACTCTGCTTTGCCCCTCCTCCATCCTTTCCTTGGTGGCTTGCAGTGACTCCCGAGCCCTCAGCACCAGGAGACCTGCAGAACTTGGCTCTGCATCCAGTCGGCGTTTTGCGGGTTCCTTAGTGGCATGCTTGTGGAGAATTGGAGTTTGGGGAAAAGCCACAGCTCCGTGTCTCAGCTCATCACTGGGATGGGGCCCCCTGGCGTTCTCCTTTCTCTCTAGCCGGCCAAGGCCAGAGACTCTCATGCTCCGCATCAGGCAGGCCTGGGCCTCCAGGACAAAAGGAAGTGAGCTGTGTGTGTCAGACACCCTTTTCTCTCTCTCGGGATTTCTCCCCTCAGCCTTCTAGGAGGCCTTCAGATAGCTTCCACCACCTCCGCGCCTGCCTGTCCGTCCATCCAATCACACAGTAGGGTGTCTGTCCCCACCAAACCTGCGGTCCCTGTCAGGATCGCGATGGTGAGCTTGGGTGGGCGCACAGTGGTGTGGTTGCCCAAGGGGAGGCCGTCAGATGCAAGTCTGAACCGTGACGCCCGTCCTGAGAGTCCAGGCTTTCTCTGTGTCTTGCTTGGCTGGGAGGTTTTACTTTGCCTCCCACACAGGGGGCAGAAGGCCCAGGGACTCAACGTTTGTCTGTCTGTCTGTGTGTTTCTCTCCAGCTTGCACCGACAAGGAGTTGAGGAACCTTGCTTCCCGGCTGAAGGACTGGTTTGGAGCTCTTCACCAGGACGCCAACAGAGTCATCAGACCCACCAGCTCCAACGCGGCCCCGGGCAGTAAGATACTCCACTTTTCCAACCCACTCCACCTTACACACCAAACATCGTTCATTAGCAATAGCATTATTAGGGGTTTTTTGTTGTTTTAAAGGAAACATAACACTAAAGATGTGAACGGTAACACATGCCTTTAATCCCAGCACTTGAGAGGCTGAGGCAAGAGGATGATGAGTTCCCGGCCAGCCTAGGTTACACAGCAGGATCCTGTCTCAGAGTAGGTGGAGTTTCTGAAGGCAGTGCTGCTGACGGAATGCAGGTGAGAATCACAGCACGCCTCTTGCGGCCCAGGAAGGCAGGACGATCACTTGAGCCCAGGAGTTTGTGAGCAGCAAAGTCAGACCCCATCTCAGAAAACCAAAAACCTGTATCTTTGAATCTTTGGCTGTCTTTCGCTGTGCATGGCGGCCTTCTAGGATGCCCAGTGCAGAGGATTCTAGGTGATAATTGTTGAAGTGTTTTACCTGTCAAGCTGGATGTGGGTGGCTCAGGTCTGTAATCCTCGCTACTCAGTAGACTGAGATCTGAGAATTGTGATTCAAAGCCAGCCCAGGCAGACAAGTCCATGAGACTGTTATTTCCATTTAACAAGCAGAGAGCCAGAAGTGGAGGTGTGGCTCAAGTGGTAGAACACCAGCCTTGAGTGGAGGGCATGTGTACACACACACACATACACACACACACACATACACACACACAGCCAGAACCACAGGATAGCATTCGCTGCCCAGAGCGTACAGGTTCTGGAGGTGCTCTGGTTGTGTCTGCAGGAAAGGGAAAAGGTCTGGTCTGGTTTTCCCTATTTGGGCTCAAGAGACCTGGAGCCACAGCGGGTGTGGACAATGTCTGGCCCTGGGGTCTCTGAGCAGCCTTTCAGCAGAGAGAGATGAGTCGCTCCAGTCCCCAGAGACTGGGATGAGAGCAAGGAGCCTGGGAAAGACTGATCTGGCTGGAAGTTGAACCCCCAAGGGGCTCTGGTCTTGATATCCTGTAGTCACCAGAGGAAGGGCGTGGGGGGAGATGAGGTTCCAGGGTCCAGAGTCCCTGCGGGGAAGCTGTCGAACCCGCCCCATGCCCCCCACCATTGAGGGGTCCGCTGTCTGGGCAGCCACCGACGCCCGGCACAGGGGGTCTTGTCTGGATTTTTTGACTACCGCCTACCTGGCTTGGCATTTTGGTCCTCTGTAAATGGTTAAGTATTCTCTCCCGTGTATCACAATGTCACTATTTTATACAAGTGACGTATAGCTCCTTAGCCTTTGGAGTAGCTAGGACTGCAGGTGTGAGCACTGCGCCTCAGCAAAGGTGCCAGAAAACTTCCAGCAGCATCCCTGGCACGTGAAGACACGAAGAGCTCCAGTCACGCTGTCCTCAGCTTCGTTAGGTCTGGTCGGCAGGTACGCCTCCTGAGCAGGTCTCCCGTGCTCCAGGAAGCGCGCCCCGCTGCCTCTCCCATGGCCTGGAGTGCGCAGGGGCTGCAGGCAGTGTCTGTGGAGACCTAGGGCCCCCGGGCAAGGGAGGCACTGCAGGGGGCCTGTCGTCCCCATGGGGACTTCTGCTGCCATTTCTGCCTCGCTCCCTTTTTCTGCTGTCCCCAGAGATGTCCTCAGGCCTGTCCAGGAAGGCAGCAGGGGACTGCCGATGGGGCCTGGGACAGGGCTGCCTGGCTTTGAACCCCAGTTAACAGTTGCATAACCCTGAAAGCAGAAGGAAAGCTCCTAGCTGTGTGTGTGTTGGCTGCAAAGCAGAGAAGCCCAAGTTCGCTTCACAGGACCACTCCCAGGAGCAGTAGGAAGTATAGGGTGTCCAGGAGTGTGCAACATGAAACACTTTTTTGATTTTGCAGTGCTAGAATTTGAGTTCGAGGCTTGTGGCGTGCTAGCAAGTGCTCTACCACATGAGCCACACACTCAGCTCCTTGGACACTATTTGTTAGTCAGGGTCTCGTGCTTTGCACAGGGCTAGCCTCGCAAACAGCGATCCTCCTCGTGAGCATCTAGGACAACAGTGGCACCAGCACGCCTGCCTCCATCGGAGGCTGAGGCGGAGCCCAGCCAACTCCTCAGAGTGGCCTTGAACCACGATCCTTCCAACTCCCAAGGCATGCTCCCAGTCCTCAAACACTAACTGTTAAGCAGGGCGTGGGGTACACGCAGTGCCCAGGCCGGGGGACCATGGAGACTGAAGACAGCCTAGGCTAGATAGCAAGATTTTTGTGTGTCTCCAGCCATGAAAAAAGGAGATTCCGGAAGGGAAGCAGACGTAGGGATCCCAAGAGAAAGATGCGCTCGTGACGTGAGGCGTGCCTTTCCTGTGCCTCGTGGCCCCAAGTGGAAAGCTAAGAGTTACTATCGAAGCCATCCAATTTCTGCCGTGGAAACGAGTGAATTCTCCTTCCCAAGGGAAGTGAGCGGTCACTGTCTGGCTCGACCTGGATCACCTATCAGAAGAGACGGGGTGAGGCAGCCCCTGGCCGGCCGGCCGGCCACACCATCCCTCTGTGGAGTTCAGCAGCCCTCTGCGGTAGTCAGTGCTTCTAGATTACTGCCTTGCTATCTCTTTGATACTGTTTTCAGTTGATTTTTTTTCACCTAAAAGCACAGTTTTCAGTATAGTTTCACACACACCCTCTTCTAAGCAGGCCTAGTCCACAAAAACCCTTATGTGCATCACAGCTACATTAGCATTGGAGAGTTCCTCCCTTGAGAACACCCATTCCCCAGATGCCGGTTTCTGTGCTGTGGCACATTGTACTGTGTGTGGCTCAGAACCTGCAGTCACTGAGGCTGTGGGAAGGAAGGAGGGGCGGGGCGCACAGCCAAGCCTGAGCCTGGCCTTTGCCTCCAGGGTTCGACACCAGCATCCTGCCCATCTGCAAGGACTCCCTGGGCTGGATGTTCAACAAGCTGGACATGAACTACGACCTGCTGCTGGACGCCGCCGAGATCAACGCCGTCTACCTGGACAAGCACGAGCCCTGCATCAAGGCGCTCTTCAACTCCTGCGACTCTTTCAAGGACGGCAAGCTCTCCAACAACGAGTGGTGCTACTGCTTCCAGAAGCCCGCAGGTGAGGCGGCACGCGGCACAGCCCACGGCCCCCGTAACGGGGTTCCTTCACCGTGACTTCATTCCCAGGTCGACTCATAGTCCGATGCTCGGTGGGAAGCACTGTATGCAAATGCTAGTGCGATTCCTTCCCACAGGCACACGAATTCCCCGCGCATCTCAGGTGAGTGTGCGCTTACTGGCGTCTGTAGACAGCAGCTAGTGATGGAGAGAGATGAGTATTAGAAAGGACTCCCAGGGATCGCCTGTAGCTGAGTCAGACAGGAGGGGGCGCGGGGACCCCAGCCCCTGTACCCATTGAGCTCAGGCCCAGGACCAGCTGTGACAGCCCTGGCGGGCGATGCCTCCCAGAAGTGAGCATGTGGTACCTTTTATTTACATCAGATTCTCAAGTGCAGCAGCACCCGATCTCCCGCCACCTCAGAATACCATTAACATCAGCGGACATGTTCCCTCCTGCCGGGGCTCCCGCCCTCTCCGGGGCATGACTGTCCTTCCTGATTTATTTTTCCTGCTAGGCTCTTTGGGGTGTTGCTGTTATATTTAGTAAGAAATTCAAATTTTTTTTTTCTGTGACTGCATGCGTTTTTTTGGTAGAGAGAAAATTTTGACATCAAGATAGAATACCTTGGTTTTTTCTCAGTTAATAGGGCTCTCGTAGGTTTTCTCCAATACCTTTTGGTTTTCATGTTTATATATTTCCAACAGATATTTGTCCTCTTTATCAATCTATTCAAATTAATTCTACACTATCCAATTCACAGTTGCTTTGCAGTGCTCTTGATATCTGGTAGGACTATTCCCTTTTTAATCTTTTTCCAAAATTTTCCTGGGTATTCATCTTTTTCTCCCTCTATGAACTTTAGAATCAATTCATCTAATTAAAAAGAGTTCCTGTTAGCTCCGGAATGTTGCACTTTGTTAGAACAGAATGTGTCTTATCACACTGAGTTTTCTTCCAATATTTCTATTCTTGGTGAATGAAGTCTACTTTTGTTCCAGTCCTTCATGACATTCTCGTTTTGTTTATGTTTAGGTTATTCTGCATGGATTTTCCAGGTGCAATCATATCTTCAAATAGAGAATTTACCTCTTTGCCTTTTCAATTTTCAAACCTCATTGCTTTCTGATTTTGAATTACATCAGAAACTACTTAGAAATTGATGCCAAGTAGAGTAGCCCTGATTTGTATATTAGTATAAAGCATTTGCAGGCATGCACCACCAGTAAGCTATGGTAACTGGAGCCTTGATTTCATACACACAGCTGTAGTTTTGGTGTGTGTGAGCACAGAGTGGGTTCTTACTGCTGGTCACCAGGCCTCAGGGGACATCTGTGACCTTTTGGCACTTGCTGTGGGCCAGAATCCTGAAGTAGTTGAGCAAAACAATTTATCATTCTCTCCTTTTCTTCAGAAAGAAGAGGTTTCACTTCCTGACCTGGAATCACTTGCATTTTGCTTTTCTATTATACATCAGTATTTTCGAAGCTTGGAATTTTCCCTAATTGACGGCCACAGATATCTTTATGATGACCACGTGAATGCTTCTGACTCTCTTTCTCCTCAGGACTGGTCTTTTTATGCCTATGCTTTCTTCTCTTCCTGCAGTTCTAGAGACAAGCATTTCCACTTGCAGCATGGGCGGTGTCAGCACCGCCTTCCGTGTCACACTAAGTGGAGCGTTCCTGCAGCATGCTGCCTGTTCTAGCCTCTTTCTCTGGTGGTTTTCATGTTGGATCTTGTTTATCTAAAGCCAACAAAATGGGTCTCACAGCCCTACCTTCTGTCCCAGAATGCTCAGGAAGACCAGGGGCCCTGGGAAGTCCTCAGTAACAGTGGGGGATGCGCACACACTTGGGACCTCTGGAAAGAGGTCCAAGCCAAAGCCCAGCGCTTCCCAGAGACTGGGGAGACCATGTGGTCACAACCCCCCAAAGCTGGTGAGGTTGCTTTGCTTAGAACAGATGTCTGTTCTTTGGGGAGACAAAGGCAACACACACCGCACGAGCCTCTAGGACTCCTGTATCTGTCCTTTACTTACGAGTGGACGGCTTCAGGCAGCACACACAGGCTGTGTCTCAACCTGGACTGGAAGTCTCACTTCTGTCGCCCACAGGTATCATCTCTCCAGGCCGCTGTGCTCTGAGGTCTTCACAGCTGTCCCTGTAGGGTTCTAATCCTCTTTTCACCCCACAGCGGGGTCTGGACTTGATGGAGGATTTGTGGCAAAGCCTTAGGTAGTTTAGAACACTTACCACTAACAAGCCCTTGCAGATCCCTCCTGCCAGCCAGCAGGGGAAAGTCTGCTAACTGGGTGTGAAGGCTCAGACCTGTAATCCCAAGGAAATTGAGAGGATGGTGGTCAAGACCAGACTAAGAAAAAAGTTAGAGGACCCTCTCCCCTACCCCCGCCACCACCACACACACCCCTCAATAAATAAGCAGGTGTGGCTGCGTACATGGATAATCCCAGCTATAGGGAGGCCTAGTTAGGAGGTTGGTGGTCTGAGATTAGCCTGGGGAAAAATGCAAGACCATACGGTAGAGCGCCTGCCTAGCAAACACAAGGCCTTGAGTTCAAAGCCCTGTACTGCCACAAAAATCTGTTAGCAAATTATTATCAGACACACAATATTTGCTTGAAATGGAGCTAGGAAGGAAAATTCCGGCGCATTGCAAGTAGCCTTGAGATACTGTTTTAAGTAGTGTGGGATGAGGTTTAATTAGCAACTCTAATGGCCTGGATTTGTTTTGTTGTGTGGTTCGTGCATATGGAGCCATTCCATTCCCAGGTGTGTCATTGTCTACGACGCACGTCGGGAGCGAAGTCAATCATTAGAGACGATATCCCACACCATCTGGAAGCCGACTTCTGTAAATTATTTTTTAGGTCTCCCTTGCCAGAATGAAATGAACAGAATTCAGAAGCTGAGCAAGGGGAAAAGCCTGTTGGGTAAGTTCAGTTTCTTGTCACTTGCTCAAGCAACTAATTACACTGTGCATGTCTCTTACGGTGTTCAGCACCGCAGGGGCCGCTCAGCTGGGGCCGGTGCCGTGTGCCAGAAATGACCTTCTGGGCATTTTCTCCCTGGACCCGACTCTCAGGGCAGCTGGTGGTATGCCATCACGCCACCCACAAGAAGGTCAGAGGTCAGGGCTGGAATCCAGCCCCTGCCCTGCTGCAGCCACCTCCAGATCTCGGGCTACACTGAACCTCGAGTTTCCCTTCTGTGAGCTGAAGCCCCTGGTAAGGGCTTGCTCAGATTCCTGCCAGCTCGGAAGTGTAAGGTCTATACGTTAGAGCGGGAGCTGTCCACTGTAGGAGGAGGAGCTCAACCTCAGAATGTCCTGGCTCTGCTGAGAGCCTGTCCACCTGTGCGTCTCTGGAAGGATGTGTTGGGCTGCTTTCCCTCCTCCAGTGTGAGAACAGAGGTCGCAAATGCCGCCCTAAGCCCCTCACTGCCTGGACTGCCCTCTGGTCTTCAGCATTTGCAAGAAACGGTGGCAGTGCCGGGCCACTGGCAGCCTTCATCTGCTAAGAAAATGGAGTCTGCGGTCCTTGACATTTGCTCGCTGACAGCTGCAGCATGGTCTTTCTCTGTGGCCTTCTCTGAACACTGAGGGGCAGGGACACCCCTAAGCAGCCCACTGTCTACACGGGTGTCTGCCTACCTAAGGGAAATGGGCGATGTCCAGCACCAGCCACGGTGTGGATTCTGGCGATTTCTCTTGAGTTGGGGATGCTTTACCTGCTATGGCGACTCCGGTCCACCTGCTCCAGTCAGGGTCTCTGTCCTGCCGTCACGGCTCTGTGGTCCAGTGGCACATGCTAATCATCAGTCACTCTGGGGATGCCTTGCTTGGAGTTCCAGCCACTTGTCTAGGACCCAGAGCAGTTAGGGTTGTGGTAGATCTTCAGCTGTTAGGTCCTGGCGCTATTTCCACACACATGCAACTTCTGCCCCTTTCCTCCTCTACCTGTACAGACGGCGCTTGGGTGCGTATTGCTATGCTGTCGTGGTGTGAAGGTATGCAGTGCCCTTCAGTCCTCCACCCCTCAGGGATGCCACCCGTGTAAGCTCACTCATTCAACATGATGTCCAGTTTCAAATGACATAATTCCAGCTTTCTTTATGGCTGTATAATATTCCATGACACACACACACACACACACACGTACCATATTGTCTTTACCTGTTCATTGATCAGTTGTTGGATACCACAGCTGATCCCTTGTTTGGCTGTAACAGAACTGCAGTGAACTTGGGTACAGGAGGCTCTTTCCCTTTCTGGATGGTGCTCTGCTCTCCTTTGGACACAGGCCCAAGAGTTGTGTGGCAGGACGGTGAAGCAGTCCGTTTTCAGTTCCTCGAGGAGCAGAGCTCCCTCTCCACACGTCCCCACCAGCATCCGTGGGCTATGGGTATCTTGCTACTGCCTCGCTCATTTATATCAGTACCCAGGAATAACATGCCTACCTTTGTCTAATTGCACAGAGTTTTTTACTCTGGCTGTCATAAAAATTCCATTTACTTCTTACAAATCATTTTGTTCCTAGGAAAAATCTAATACATAATCACTGTATTCAGAAATATTCATATTAAAATAAATAAAATAAGCAACAACAAATTATAATCACTTACAATCACCATCTTAGAAAAAGCAGTAATCTTATTAAATTATAGATTTCGTGCAGCACCTGCTTCCTACCAGCCAGGGGCTCAGCCCAATTTCTGTTTATTTTTTGGTCTATTAAGTGCTGTTTTCTAACCACAGCTCCCGGGGAGAGGTCCTGCCCTCTGCCTCTGCAGTCTTTTTGAAAATCTGCTCACAAACTCTGCCTTTCAGCTCTGGGCACCATTGAAGGTGTCGGCTTTTCTTTTTTCCCTCTCCTATTGCCGGGTAATCAGGGGTCAGGTGCACTGGCAAGCCCCGGCTGAGGGGCAGCAGGGTCACGTGTACCCCGTTGAGTATCAGCAGCCTTTCCTAAGAGGTGAATATGGAGGTTCAGGGGCATGTGCCTCTTGCGGAGCTCACCTGATCGCTGAAAATAGTGAGAAAGTACATTCTAGACTCAGATGGACCTTGGTTTAAAACCTGGTTTAAAATCAGAGAATTCTTTTCCTGCAGTGCAATACTTTCACTTTTCTGACATCAGTCCATGAAAGGAAATTTCACGTACAAAACCATACTGGCCACCAGAAAAGAAGGCAGAAGCCAAAAGCCACAGGTGAGCTACAGCAGCTTCTGTAGAGGTTTCGGGACCTGGTCACCCCCAAGTCCCTGTACAGAAAGCCATCGGGAAGATGACCTACAGCTGAACGACACACGGATCCACACCACACTTCCCATGAGCAGCCTGAACGTAAGCAGAGAAGAGCGCGTCCAGAGTGCTGAGGGCAAACAGCGGAGCCTACGCGTTTCCACTTATCCCAAAGGCAGATCAAGTGCCGTGACAAAGACAGTCCCACACTGCTGCAGGTTCTGTCTACTCCCTGGCACAAGCCCAGGAAGAATTATTGGCAGTGTGAGGTGACATGCTTTGATAGCATTAAAATTCTAGCTTGTTCAGGGCAATGGCAGATAGGGCTTATTAAGAAGAAAACAGATTCTCTTTAGAACTCATTAGGAAGAACAATGCTGCTCTTGAAGGGTAGCCACGAGAAAGAACATCAGAAATAAAAGGATGAGGATCGTTTTAAAACGTACAGAAGAAAGGCATGGAGAGAACAGAACAGGAGTCGCATAGCAAAGATGGATAGGGATGCAGGAATAAAATTCAGCGATTTGTACGTAATCACAGTAAGTGAACAGACTGCTTGCTTACCCTGACACACACACTGTGTGTGGGTATTTTTACATCTACAGCAATCCTAAGGAAAGCTGAGATTAAAAGATGAGGGGAAACACTCTGTTTTTATAGCAATGTTTCAATTGCTGGCCAAAGCAAGTATGTTTGCATTATAAAATCCATAGTATCACCTTGCCAAAATACGCCTTTTACCTTAATCATGCCATCAGTGGGTGTCATCATAACTTTAAAAGCAAAGTGGAACTGAGCTGCAAAGCAGTGCAGTTCAAGTAGACAGAGGATAAAGCGCTGACTGACTCATTTGCATCCACATTCACGCACAGTCTTGACTGTATAGTCTTTCAAGCACATGTGCATTATCTACTGTGGAAAAGTCCACGGAATACGCAGTGATCCCCTCTGAAGCTTCCAAACCAAACGAAAACCCTGTGTGCCGAGCTAAGCCGAGAGGAGCCTCGCGCCAAACAGACCTTTAGAAACCAACATTCAATGAGCTCAAGAAACCGACACTCGATGAGCTCAAGAAACCGACACTCGATGAGCTCAAGAAACCGACACTCGATGAGCTCAAGAAACCGACACTC